ACGATAAATCAATTATATCTTTATATTTTATATATTATTTATCTTAAAAAGACTAATTTTATAAAATGCGTACAGTTATGACTTCTTTACACCTGCACAGACTCTGCATATGGCACACTAAAATATTTTATATAGAATGCATACAGTTACAAAGACTAATTTTATATACTAAACATTTAATCAAAATATGCAAACTATATTATACATATTTGTTATTATACATATTATGCAAAATAAAAATTATACTTTGAAAATCCTTTGACGACGGGACAAATTTCTATCTAAATTCCACTTCTGTATTTTCTATACAAATATACATGAACATGAATAGTCACTGTATATTAAGAAGATACGGTATACATGAAGTTTTATGTTTTCAGACAATGTGAAATAAAAGAAACAACAAAATAGAATAACAAAATAAAGTACACGTTATTTAAACTAGTGACAAAATTAGCGCCACCTGGCAGTTATCTACCGAGATAGCGTTCATTTGGAAACTGTTGTCATACACATGTATAACCTCAAAATTGCATTACATAATGACAATGGCAGCGGTAATTGCGAAGATGTAAATAAACCAGAATAAATACCAATCCAGCATTCGAGACGGGCACACGGTTGTGTTTTGACAATGTCCGGTGGATCGACACCAACGTTCAAACATAAAACTAAAGCCACGCTCACAGTTTTCATCTAAAAAAAAAATATATATATATATATATTAATTCAAAAAAGCATCGTATAGAACGAAATACGTAATTTTTCGAAATACGATCGCAAAGCACAAGAAAAAACAAACAAACCCTTTCTTTCATTCTCCATGTCTGCGTAATACAATTCACACCCTCGATCGTCGCCGTGTGCCGAGGTTTGCAAAATGCAAGCTGCACTTTCCAATCGTCTTCCTCTGTCAATCTCGAATTCTCTTCCTCGTGGCATGGCTTCGAAGCAGTTACTGACATCGTAAACCCGTGACTTGAGAAAAAGTTTCTGCCGCGACCTTACGAAAGACACGCTTCACTTTCGAACGATTCCACACCGATATCACATAGACATTAATACGAGCTATCAATCGACGATATTCAATACCCGACAAATGCACAAATGTATTTTAACGGAGGACAGTTTCGTAAGTTTACTTCATCGGCCGCCATCTTACATCTCTCACGACATTACCAATAAACTATCACCAACGCGTGGATAAAGATCATTTGGTCGTAATAATATTATCCAGATGGCGCCACGAACTACCTGCATCGTACTTGTACAGAGTGTTCCAAAACTGTTGTAATAGCTTGAATGGGGTGGTTCGGGAGGTGATTTAAAACAACTTTTTTCTTAGCGAAAATGTCGTTCGAGGCTTCATTAAGGAGATATTAACAGAAAACCTCGACCAATCAGAGCGCGAGTATGCTAGTGGAGCGGCCGCGGTAGCCTATGAGCGTAAACACCTAGCGCGCAGCCTACCAATCAGAGCGCGAGTATGCCGGTGGAGCGAAAGCTACGTTGGCGGCCGTGCTCATACGCTACTGCGGGTCTGACCAATCAGAGCGCGAGTATGGCAGTGGAGCGTAGGCTACGCGCGCTCTGATTGGTCGGGGTAGCTTAAGGGTCGCACAGATTATTCTGACGTTACGTGGAACACGTCAGGTTACGTGGGCCCACGTCAGACATGAGAAGTTGTCAAAAATAATGAATCCTTCGATAATTCTGAGTTTATGGCCCACGTCACGTCAGAGTAATGTGAACGTCGCCATGCAAAACCCTATGTTAGATTTTCATCTGTGCGACCCTTTTTAGGCTACGCGCTGGGCGGCCGCGCTCTGATTGGTCGGAGTAGCGTAGGCTACGCACTCTGAATGGTCAGTGTTTTCCGTTAATATCTCCTCAACGAAGCCTCTGACAACATTTTCGCTAAGGAAAAAGTTGTTTCAAATCACCTCCCGAACCATCCCTTTCAAGCTGTTACAACAGTTTTGGAACACCCTGTATTTTTCAGGATAAGGAAGGCCGAAGTTGTCATCAATAAAAAGAATTTTAATTCGAACGAAATCAATTTTCGATCGAACCTCGATTATAATTACAAAGTTGTCATTGATAAAAAGAATTTTATTTTGAACGAAATCAACTTTCGATCGAATCTCGGATATAATTATAAAGTTATCATCAGGGCCGGCGTTAGGGGAGGAAGGGGGGGTGCGGTCGGGCAACCGCCCAGGGCGCCAGATTTTTGGGAGCATCGCAGTCCGGTGTAGATTAGTAAAACTGCTATATATTGTAGTTCAACAATTTTTACAATCTAGCTACAGATTCATCGTTTGATATTATTACCTTGTCTTCTTTTCTTAAAAATTTTAAGCCTCTGAAGGGGCGCCACGCAGTGAGGGACATTCGTGGGATTTTTTCTGATCATGCGCATTAGAGCGAGCGTTGCAGTCCTCACTGCTGTATACACTTGCTTAGAATTTAGGGTACCATTGGATCCCAGTAAGGAACAAAATATAATGTCCTTTTCTTTTCCTTGATGATTTCTGACGTGGACGGCTGCGGTTCGTTATCATTTTTTTCTAATTTTCCCTAATATTACACTCACGAACACTAACACTTTTGTACTTAATTTGTCCGTTAAAAACGCGGGAAAATTGCACAGCCCCCTTAAATGCACCTCCTCTAGCGGTTCGGATACATGTAGCTGTGACGTCAGCTTACGCATGTGCAGAAAGGAATTCCTCGAAGGAAAAATCCCACGAATGTCCATCACTGGCGCCACGATAATCTTACCCGGGGCGCCAATATTGCTAAAACCGGCCCTGGTTATCATTGATAAAAAGAATTCTATTTCGAACGAAATAAATTTTCGATCGAATCTCTGTTATAATTACAAATAATCAGTATAAATAAACAACGGGAAACAGCAACGATACCGTTTTACAAGAACATGTTCGTTCGATTTTATTTGTTAAATACCATATAACGAATTACTGTACGACTAAATCTTTGAAATGTAATTTACATCGCAAAATGTTAATTTTGTAATTTTGTAATATGTTTTACCTATACAACTTATATAAAATATTTTTAAAGAATTTAATACTACGTATATATTTGTGTAGGCGTATGCACAACGTGTGCGTACATATAGTAACATTGCTCCGCGTTCTATTACTCGGACGTTCGCGTAATTTTCTATTTTACCAATCTTTTCAAATTAACAGACTTATACGAATGCATATGGACACTTACTTTGTAATATAAGAATTAGATGATTCGTAACGACGATTTTGACAGTTTTGACACAAGTTTAAAATGTGCATCTTTTAAAAATTGCAGAGTTAGAATTCTAAAAGAGAGCATTTAAATTGTCAAAATATCAAGGACGACATAAATGTTCCATTGCACATCATATTCACAGCCTATATATAAATATGTATATTTATGTATTCTATGTACAATCTTGACTTCATTCATAAAGCATTTAAAATAATCACACATTGAATTATACGATCGTATTAATTCTCTAATTAAACTATTTGGTACCTAAAAATACTGTAGAATATAATTCAGCGAACCACCTTATAATTTTTGTTTATTTAATTCTTGATTCAATTTTTTTTTTTTGCATGTCCTATAGCTTGTAAAATATTAATTGAACAACTTCATTCCCTTTTTCACTCTGAAAATCACTGAAGAGCTTCAGGATTACTAAGATGCTTGTAACCCTGAAAAGTAATTGATAAAATATCAATAATTTTGTAAAATGATTAAAGTAAAAACAACTTAACAAAATGAGAAGCATGCTATTTACAACAGACATTTCTATAGATAAAATGCAAATAATGTCTAAATAGAAGAAAAGAAAAGATGGGATCGTAAATCTAATAAGAAAAACAATATATGAGAAAGATATGAAGAGAGTTAGTGTATAAAAAAAATGCGTTAAAAACAGTAAGAATTGATAATGGGATATCTTGCAACATGCAATGAAAATTACAAATAGCAATCAAAGACTATGTTGCACAATCTGTACTTTGTTAGTGATTCATGCTGCCATAATAGGGCAGGCGTACACTTATCCGATTGCTTCCAGGTCTTATAGCGTTATTGAATGAACCTCGCAACCGTTCTGTAAATGTTTTATACTCCATCTCTGGATTATTCTGTCCAAAGTCGAAGTCTGCAACTTCTACTGTAAATCTTGCTCTGCTTTGTACATAATACGCAATACCAAAAACGATCAGCACTACAGCAGCAAGGGAACAAGAAACAGGTACAGCGATTACAGACAATTGAGGTTTTCTTAGCACTGTAAAATATATATATATATATATATATATATATGAAATTGTAACAAAGAAGAATCATTTTGATTTTATAATAAAATAAAGATATATTATTGGTATCTGTAGTAATATATACCTTTATAAATATTTATTGTCAGAGGATAGATGTGCTTGCTGACATCATTATTCATTATAATTAATATTGTGTATACACTGGGTTCCAAGAAAAAGTGAATAATGGAAAAATTACACGAATTCAGGTAAACTCCAGTGGCACATGTTTCGTTTCCAGTAACATTGTACTTTTCTTGATGAAATTGAAGGCACTTATAAAAAGGTCCCGAACCTTTACACGTTACATTGAGAGATAACATATCCCACGGTTGAATCCAATTTGTACCCTCTACAGTTATATTCATTATAGGTGCTACAATTATTAAAATATAAAATATTATAACTTTCATTAAACGTACAATATAAAATCATATGATGCATAACTCACCACGAACATTAATTTTTTTGGTGAAGTGTCCATAAGTTTTATTTGGATCTGCAGGGATTATCGAGGAATTGGAACAGATATAAGGTAAAGGACTATTCGTGTTGAAGATACTAGTATTTGATGTAGTATTAAGAGTTACAGGTGTAGATGTACTCGTTAAAACTGGTTTTATAGACACATTAGTATTAGGCGCAGTAGTAGTTCCCATCTCTTCTATAGTTATATTTGATATTGTAGCATTTATTGTAGTTGTGACTGATGGAACAGTAGTTGTAGGAGGTGGAACTGTTGTCGGAGGAATGTATGATGCAATTATTAAAGCTTCCACAACCTTGGATACGTCAGGAGTTGTGAAATTGTAAAGGAGATTCAAATCATTCGTTTGGCCATAAAATTGACAGTCTATGAACCAATAAGTAGATATTGTTGTAGCTTTCATCAAAGCATCCATATCTCCCTCGCGAACACGTATCGTCACATTTGCTTCGGATACAGAAGAAATGTATGTACTATCTGATGTCTTATTAGGTTGTATAATTTCAATATTACCATTTAGAAATTCTGTAAACATATACTATGTTAAAATAGTATGTAACAGATAAAAAAAAATTAATATAGAATAGTCCAAGAGTCTCTCAACTTACGAGTAACATAAAATTTAGTGCGAACACTGGTAACTACGTTCCACCACAGAAAATACGCCTTGCTAACAAATACTTCAACTTCATATATTCCAACGCTATACTTTTCACGTGGATAACTTATACTCCAATATATCGTATCTAGTTTGCTTTCTACCTATAAATGAAAAAGAAACATATAACATTCACTGGTGACCAATATTAAAGTACTCTTTGAAAGTACCGAATATTTGTTCTTTCTACCGAATAATTTTAGAAAAAACTGTGGATAATTCAAAACACCTTAGAAGCATTTGGCATGAACATAAAAAAAGAAGAACAATAGTACAAAACATAGTAATGGAAAATAAATGATAAATTAAATAACATATTGATGATACAATTGCTTGATATTAATGAAATGCCTTTTGGATTAATATGATATATTGTTCATTAATTTTAACAAATATAACTTCATAGTTTGTAAATATTATCAAATTATTCTTAAATCATTACATACGTTCAACATTACATTAAGAAAAAATTTGCATTACATAGATTATACCTGTATATGTATTATGATTTAATTTGACAAGATTCATTACTTCTGATCAAATGTAGAACAATGAAACTAACCTCATACTCGTGGGCAGGTAACGCATTATCTGACCATTTATATTTAAAAGGACCTGATGGTCTTTCACCGTTTTCTTCATAAATGTCAAGTTTAAATGTAATAGTTCCGCCTAATACCACAGGTCCATCATGGGACAATGTAACATTATACTCAGCAGAAGTAACTGTGAAACAAAATAATTAGTAAAATCCTTGAAAAAAAAGAAAAAAAAAAAGAAACAAATTAAGGTTATAATAATATACGTAATTACAGGATTAGAAGAATATCGTATTGAATGTTTATAAATATACCTTGAAAAGTGAATACAGAGTAGCACATGAAACACAAAAAAAAATGCACTATTTGCATTTTGTACGCTGACGAAAAATCACATTTATTTTGACAAGTATCCACACGCCATGAATTTGTTTTCAATCGATTTGTAATTAAATACATACACTAAGATGACACGATTTCGTGCCGCGCGAGAGGAAAGTCACCAGCATAGATTAATTTTAGAATGCTCTGTGTCACTAGCTTCGGCTAGTTTCTTTTGAGTATATACAGGGTGTCCCAAAAATGTTGTAACACCTTGAAAGGAGTGGTTCGGGAGGTGATTTGAAACAACTTTTTCCTTAGAGAAAATGTTGTCAGAGGCTTCGTGAGGAGATATGAGGAGAAAACATTGACCAATCAGAGTGCGTGTAGCCTACGCTCCACCGGCATACTCGCGCTCTGATTGGTCGGGGTTTTTCATTAATATCTCTTCAACAAAACCCCGCACAACATTTTCGCTGTGGAAAAAGTTGTTTCAAATCACCTCCCGAACCCAGAGATGGGCAAAACCCTAGACTTCGAATAAATCTGAAATTTACCGATATGTTTGTTTCGTTTCCTTCTTTGGAAAATTTTTAATAGAGGAAACGAGACAAACATATCAGCAAACTTCAGATTTATTCGAAGCCTAGGGTTTTGCCCATCACTGCCCGAACCACCCCTTTCAAGGTGTTATAACATTTTTGGGGCACCTTGTATAGACATGGATGGGGATTGCCATTACCGAAAGTGTGTTTAAAGTCTGTGTAAGAGAGAAAGATATAGAATGATATTTGTCCAAAGTCTGTGTGAGAGAGAAACGTATAGAATGATATTTGTCCTCTCTGTGCATGCGTCAAATACATTATGAATGCCATGCTATCGGCTACATTGGCGGGCTGTGTTCCGTAAAGAGTTGTAAAGAGTATATACACTCATTATCCACACTAAATGTAACGTGTATTTTAGACAAATATGCGCATATTATTTTTTCGGAATCCAACTACCGTTTATCTCAGCGTTTATAAAAAATTACAATAATCAAGAATGATGAGTAGCAAAATAAACAGATAACGCTTAACTATAAAAGGTAATGGGCGGATATTACAGTGGTGACATCAGGTGACATATGAGTAGTAGCCGTGCTTAAGGATAGACGTTATATTTACAATAATTTATGATGACCCAAAAAACTGTGAAGTTCAATAATAGCAATACTTATCCCATGTTGGGACTAGGGACGTGGAAGGTATGTTAAAATATGTAGTTTTTATTCTAATTTCCGTTACATTAACAATTGCTTCTTTATTTTTCTATCTAGTCCAAACTTAACGAAGCGACACAAGCAGTAAAAGATGCTATCGATGTTGGATATCGTCACATTGATTGTGCCCATGCTTATGAAAATGAAGCAGAAGTTGGTGCAGCAATAGCTGCAAAAATAAAGGAAGGTGTTATAAAGCGTGAGGACATATTTGTGACTAGTAAACTGTGGAATACATATCATCGATCAGAGAGAGTTGAACCTGCTTTCAGAAAGACCTTGAGCAATCTTGGTCTCCAATATCTTGACCTTTATTTAATACATTCACCAATGGCATTCAAAGGTCCTATTTTTATAATGATCAAAACTGTTAACTATGACTCCAATAGTTTAAAAAATGATGCATTATGTTTGCAGATGGTGACAAAATATTTCCAACAGATTCTGATGGTAATCTATTAATTGAGGATACAGATTATTTAGATACCTGGCATGCCATGGAAAGTCTTGTAGAAAAAAATCTTGTGAAGAACATAGGTGTGAGCAACTTTAATTCTCAGCAAATAGAGCGCGTGTTATCCAACTGTAAAATAAAGCCAGTGACAAATCAAGTTGAATGTCATCCATATTTAAATCAACAAAAATTGTCTGACTTTTGTAAAACCAAAGGGATCACGATCACCGCTTACAGTTCTTTTGGAGCTCCTGATAGACCTAATGCTGATAAAAACGAACCATTGATATTAGAAGACGCGAAAATTAAAAAAATTGCTGCCAAGTATAAAAAAAGTGCTGCTCAGATTATACTGCGACATCAAGTACGAGTTTTAAAGATATACGTTATATTTAATCAAATTGTTAAGACTCGTAATTTAATACAAATTTTGTAACAGATACAGTGGGGACATTTGGTGATCCCTAAGTCGGTAACAAAATCAAGGATACAGGAAAACTTTGACATCTTCGATTTCGAGATAAATGCCGAAGATATGAATGCACTAAACGATTTAAATTGCAACAGAAGATATACATCTTCATTTGGGTATGTAATTAAAATAAATTATTTTAAAAAACAATGTAAAATAACGTCTATTTCGATAATTTTCTATTGAATTTTGTTTCAGACCTAAACACCACAAATACTATCCGCTTCAGATAGAGTTCTAATACTGCGATATCCGCGCCATCCATACTCAATCTGCGGCTCCTACAATACTAATGTACAAAAGAAATAAAGAAATATATATTCTTTAATTTTACGAATTTTTCTATTGGTAATTTCTTTCGATCAGTTGCATTGACGCGAGCAAGGCGTGTCGCTGTCTTCGCAGCCGCATGAACAACATTCACAGAATTCATCATCGCTATTCCTATCTCTTGCTCGACCATTCCGGCTGATTTTTTGTTTTTAAAGCATCGATATAATAATTCCTTCGTCGCGAGTTCGAGTCCCGTTGAAACACTCTTACACTATTGTCTTTTTTCACTTTCTTTTAAAAATACATTCGTTAAATGTGACTTATTTATCACTAATGTTCGGATATATTTTTTAAAACAATTTCCATTTTAAATGTATGATGTACATGAACTTGAGTGATAATTTTCGAAAAAACAGTGGAAACAAAAATTTTAAGCACCATGTACATCGAATGAATGCTTTAGATTCACGACTACAAAATTGTTTATTTAATTCTACTGGGAATGCTGCTTGATTTACGTTAACGAAATGTAATCGATTTTCTGATAGCTATGGTGCGTATCAACTATATATATATGTAGAATAGAGATAAATATATTGAAATTCATTATAGAAATAGAAACAAGTACAGCAATGTCTCGAAATAAGCAACTCGATCGGGACAGGCGAGTTGCTTATTTCGAAACAGGTATGCTATTTGGCTTTTGCATCGTTCAGGATCGTTTCCAATCACTCGATCACCGTCGAATTTCAAAAATTAAAATCCAAGAAAATTATATTTCTGTTAAGCGATTCAGACGTGAAAAGGTAATAGACAAACAGAATTACTTTCGCATTTATGATATTAGTATGGATTTGAAGTTATTCAAACGACTACAGTTTCCTGTGCGTCTTGCTTTCGCGATGATCATTTTGGCTTTTTAAGAATGGGCCTTCGTTTCCGAGATATTTTGGTTTAAAGTTTTTTATGTGTTCTTAATAAACGTATAATAAAAGTATCTAGTAAGGATCATTGAATTCATTGGTAGAGTATCAGGTTGTAACATTGCTGGCCCGGGTTTAAATCCAGATTGATGTTTGTTTTCTCTTTTTTCAATTTTGTATCATAGAAATATACTTTTTATATATTATGTACTATATTCTGCATATTATATATTATCTTACGCATATTTTAAGGTTGAAATTAATTTTTAACGTACTTGCTGTGAGTAAGTAAGTATTTACAACGATTTCAATTTTTACATTTTATATTCCACAATGTTTTGGATTCTGTGCTATCGATGACTGTTTCTTCAGAACAACTTGCACACACAGAATCACTATCCATTTTCAAACTTTCAAACCTTCCTTCATGTGACTGACACGATAAAACAAAATAAACTTACGACCAAACATAAAAATCGTTGTAAAGACTTACTCATCTACAGCAAGTAGGTATTCCGCCATGATATGTTACGTTAAAAATTAATTTCAACCTTAAAATATAGGTAAGGTAATATATAATACATACATACATATATATATATATATATTACATAATATACAAAAAGTATATTTCTGATAGAAAATTGAAATAAAAAAAAAAAAACATCAATCAGGACTCGTACCAAAATATAACTTTTCTTGTCAGAATTGCATTTTCTCAACTAAAGGGGAGACCTTATTTTTCTATAGTTTACCTTAGAATTATTGCTTATATCTATGATTAATTTAAGAACAGCTTTTTTGGAATAAATTCACTTCCGCTTCTTTGTAACTTCTGTACTTACGGTCGATTAAAAGATTCGACATATTTGTCTTCTAAAAAGTTATTTATCAGGTTTTAAATGTGGTTACCTAATTGTTAAATGTCAACATTGAAATCTTTGGTTAAATTTTGGCTCAGGGCCCCCTTTTTTTTGTTAAAACTTATCAAATCTTGTAGTTTTTGACCTGAAAGGCCGAAAATGCAGGTTAAAAATTTATAGCTGTGCGACGTCATATTGCCTTTTCCCGTCCTCTGATTGGTTCGCACGGATGACCGTTCAATTCGCGCGAACCAATCAGAACATGGGTAGAGGCAATATGGCGACGCCCACACCTGTCAAAGTACGCCAAATACACACATCTTTATCTACTCGTATCTTTTAAACTATTGGTTTCCTAAACTTTTAACTTGCATTTTCGGATTTTTCAGGTCAAAAACTACAAGATTTGATAAGTTATAAGCAAAAAAAAATGAGCCCCTGAGCTAAATTAGAAATCTTCTAGTATACATAGAATGATAGTGATTTCTAGTGATTGAATTAGTCCGCCAAATGCACCCACATGATTTTCAAATTAGCTAGAAAATGGCGGAACCCGACCTAACCTTGACGTTATTTCGTGACTCTGATTGGAGGGTCTCTAAGGTAAATTAGTCAATTACTTGATTTATGTTCGCGCCATATTCATCAGGTTTGAAAAGTTCGACGCAGGTAGAACAAACGATCCTATGTGGATCCATGTTGATCTTTGCAGATCTTAGTGGTTCCTTGATATCAAGCGAAGTTACTAAAATTGACAGTAGCTCGGATGGATGATTCTTTTGATCGGTGGCGTGATTCGCTTCGTACGGATGGAAAGACTATTGTCATTTCTGATAGTGAGGAAGATATCGATAATAATGCCGGGAAAGAGCAAATCCTTGTGATCGATAGCAGTAGAAGTAGTAGTAGCGTTTCTAGAAGTATAACGCCAGAAGTGTAAGTAAACTTCTTAAGATTATCATTCGTTAAGCTTTGTTTTAGGTTTACTTATAATCGTCAGTATGTTTAACATAGAATTTTCTTCATTAACGTTTAGGTCGTCATCATCCAAGAAATCACCAGTATCAGAAATTGACATCGAGGATAGAATTAGGAAGTTTATTCCTGGTTATTCTGATAACGAAAACCAAAATGATGCATCGTGCAGTGATAGCCATGAGGATGACATGGATTATAGTATTTCAAGCGGTATTATATCTTTTTTTTATTATTTATTACGCTATTGAACCCCCTACGGGATTATTAGCAATATGCTCATTCTAGAGCGTATTAACAATTACATTGTAATTAAATCAAACAGTACACATTGCAAAATTAAACAAACTTAAGTATTATATCTTGGTGAATTATAATAACTAAACTGCAGATTTTTATGCATTTATAGAAAATCTGAATGTGCAACAAACTATAGAATGGACGTTGTAGCCAATAATATAAAACATATTGAAATTAAAATTTATATTATAATACTTGCAGAGTAAAATAAATTCCTATTTAGGTTCAGTTTTTATAGGTACGTTTACAGAGATTTTATTTAGCATGAAGATCTGCAGTCTAATAATAACATTGTAAATGACATGGATTCGATATTCTTATTGTATTGTTTTATAGATGGCAGTGAAAAAATTATTACCATACAGAGTAAGAAAACAAAGAAAAATAAATCCCTCGATGCCTCTATGAAAAGCATTAATACTATGGAAATTAGTAACATCACACTGAACAATGAATCTAACAATAACAGTATGGTAGACGGATACGCCAGTACCACATCCACAAGTACATCTATGCATACACCCAACAAAAGAAGAGGTACAACAGTCTAAGCAGTCATCCAGTTTGTGTTTAAATATATACTTTTCCAAGACAGAGTTACAAATAAACAATTCTTTATATCAACACTGAATTGATTTACAGATTTGAACACTGAATTCTATTCTTCCGAAGAAGATGAAGATGTACAATTCGTTAAAGAAGAATTCATTGCTCCCGAATTTACGTATCCCGTTGACTCGGATTCCGATTATGACATAAATAGCATACCGACGAAACTGAGACAATCGCTAGAAATGAACGAACTCGGGGCGAGAGCTCAAGCAACGCTGAATAAGGAATTAGCTTTAACAATCGATAGAATACAAGATTTACATGGGTCGCTTCTAGATAGACCGACCGAAGAACAGAAAGCAGACGATCCACCGGGGTTGAAAGTACGGCTAATGCCGCATCAGCAACACGCGTTGGCATGGTTAATGTGGAGAGAGCAACAGAGACCACCTGGTGGAGTTCTCGCCGATGACATGGGTTTGGGTAAAACTTTAACGATGATATCTTTGATCGTTGTTGCGAAAAGATTCAGAAGTACGGATGATAGTAGCGACGAAGAATGGACAAATAATAAAACAACATTGAAACACAGAGGCGGTACGCTCGTGGTTTGCCCAGCATCTCTGTTATCCCAGTGGGAGAATGAAATACTCAACAGATGCAGACGAGGTCTGCTTTCCATCGAGCTTTACCATGGGACCAACCGAGAAACTGTGCCAAAGAGATTAGCGAGAAACGACGTAGTCATTACGACATACAACATATTAAGTCGCGAATATAAGTCCAGATCAACGACGTACAAAATCCATTGGGACCGCGTGATACTCGACGAGGCGCATATCGTTCGAAATCATAAAAGCCAGGCATCCGTGGCCGTGTGCGGTCTCGTGGCAAACAAACGGTGGGCGCTCTCTGGTACCCCTATACAGAATAAGGAAATGGATTTGTACTCGATTTTTAAATTCCTCCAATGTACGCCTTTCGATGATTTACGAGTTTGGAAACGTTGGGTAGACAACAGAGACCATTCTGGTCATAAACGATTGGCAACCGTGATGAACACGCTAATGTTGCGGAGAACAAAACAAGAGCTCCAAGATAAGGGCGCGCTACAATGTTTACCTGATAAAACGATAGAGGAAATAATTGTAGAGCTCGATAAGCAGGAAATGTTGATATATGAGAAAGTCTTGATCTACTCTCGCACCTTGTTCGCTCAATTTTTGTCGCAGAGAGCAGAGAAACATCACATGAACGATTTAGCCAGCGGGGCGTACGATAGACCGACGTTTCTTTCGAATCCAAGTACGTGTATCGATGGAAATTTATATGAAATATCAAAAGTTGTAACGTTTTTACTCCTCCAAATTTTATGTCAGAATCACAAATCGTAATTTTTCGTAATAATTTGTCGTGATCTTTTTTCAGACAGAAATACCCAATTCAC